TTGCGAAGCGTGTCCGCTTCGAGTTGTAAGTGGCGGGCGTCGATAAGCACATCATCACCGACCTTAAATGGGTGATCCATCCTCGATCGGTTCGCACGTGCTGCCATGCGAGTCTGGGAAGCGGCTATGTGCTCATGTGCGGTCTTCATAATCGACGTCATGTGTGCAACCCAATCGTCCAGCGCAGGACAACTCGTGTCGGGGTGCATCTGGGACGGTCGAAGGAAGTCCGCGGGAACACGCGGGTGATAGCCGAGGTCGCAATAGTAAGGCGACATCCCCGTGGCTGGCGAGAGGGCGTGGTTGTAGGCTATCTCCGCGTGGGACAAGATGGAGATCCCACTGCTGGTCGTCACGAACAATCTTTCAGAGAATATCCCTGAGAGTCCTGTTCGTGATCTCGGTCTGACCATCAGTCTGAGGATGGTAAGACGAAGAGAAGCGGAGCTGAGTGATGTACACCTCGTGTAGCCGTCGCCAGAATCGGCTGGTAAAGCGCGGGTCACGGTCAGATATGATGCTCAGAGGTAAGCCGTGGCCACGCACGACTCGGTCAAATACAATGTCGGCGACCTCACGTGCACTTATGACATAGCGGCACGGAACAAAGCGTGCACGCTTCGTGAAGCGGTCGACGACGACCAGGATAGCATTATGACCGCGGGGGGTCGGAGGTCGAAGAGGACCGATAAAGTCCATCGAGATGGACTGCCAACGACCCTCAGGGATAGGAAGAGGCTGGAGCAAACCATAAGGTAGGTGGTTCACACTATTCACCTCCTGACAGGTGGGACACTCTGCGACGTAGTCCTTCACAAAGTCCTTGCGCTTCGGCCAGACGTACAGGCGGCTCACAGGAGCCAACGTCTTGTGGAAGCCCATATGACTGGCAGCTGCCTGGTCGTGGAACTCTGCTACTGCTCGGACACATAGCTGTCCAGTGGAGGGAACGCAAATACGGGGCTCTCTGGTGCCCTGTGAACTGTGCCAATACACAAGACCGTTGTCCCCGAGAGAGTAGTTCGGAACGGTCTTGCCACTCCGAAGGGTCGCGTGGATGTCGCGATAGTCGGGGAAGTGGCGGTACTGAGTGCGAAACTCGTCGATCACCAAGTGGTGGACGGTGGTGACCGAGATGGAAGAGAGCTGGATGTGCTCCTGGTCGTGGTCAGGGCG